CCCCTGCATCGGCAGGCGGACTCTCAACCACTGCGCCACCAGGGAAGCCCCATGGGGGGCCTTTTTGATGACTGTTAGGATTTGGGCTTTTACTGGGAGTAAGAGGGGAGCCACAGGATGGGTTCTGAGCCCAGGAGGGGCAGCATGCATAACAACAGTCGAAGAGGTGGGAAGCAGTGAGGCATGGGCTTCCAAGCTGACAGGAGGCCGTGAAGCAAGATCGTGGAGCCTGGGCCAGTGAGAGATGAGGCCGAGGTCACGTGCATAGAGCTTTTACCTGAGAGGGTGGGACACCGCCAGGTTGTGAGCAGGGGCCGCTGAGATTTCAGCTGCATTTTCCAGTGTGACCTCTTGGAGCCAGGAAAATGGCACAACTTTGTGGACAGAGCCCGGTCACACTGTGGAGGCAGATAGCCTTGGGTAGCTACAAGCAGGGCATCTCCCACCTGAGCCTCAGTGTCCTCCTCTGTAAGTGGGGTGCCCTTGTCTTTGGCACATAGGGTTGTTGGGGGGAAGGGGGCTCAGTAAGGTGCTGAGAGCCTCTGAAGAGCCCAGCACAGGAAGAGAATTGCATCCACCTGTGGACACTTTAGGGGGCGGGGGAAGGACACGGCCAGGTGGGCTAGCTCTGACCCGAATCTTCCTCCTCCTTGACCTGGTGGCCTCAGGCATGAGTTTGACAGTGAGAGGATCCCTGAACTGTCTGGCCCCGCCTTCCTGCAGGACATCCACAGCGTGTCCTCCCTCTGCAAGCTCTACTTCCGAGAGCTGCCGAACCCCTTGCTCACATACCAGCTCTACGGGAAGTTCAGCGTGAGTGAGGGCGCTGGCAAGGTTGGAGGGTGCTGGGAGGCGTGCGGCCCCCCTCATTCATGCCCACACAATCTCAGGAAGCCATGTCAGTGCCTGGGGAGGAGGAACGCCTGGTGCGGGTCCACGACGTCATCCAGCAGCTGCCCCCGCCACACTACAGGTAAACCAGGAGGGGCAGGGAAGGGCTGTGGTGGGCTCCCAAGGGAGTTGAGGCTCAGGCGTCCCCCTCCGCTTCCACCCCCAGGACCCTGGAGTACCTGCTGAGGCACTTGGCCCGCATGGCGAGACACAGTGCCAACACCAGCATGCATGCCCGCAACCTGGCCATCGTTTGGGCACCCAACCTGCTACGGTAAGCTGGCAGCTCACCAGCCTGCCCCCCTAGCTCCCTCCCACAGGCTGGGCCTTGAGTCCCCCCCTACCCCATCCCCACCCCAGGAACCCACCCAGCTTTTGCTCTCTTGTTCATTTCACATATTTCTTAAGTGTTGGATGCCAGTATGCCAGCCCCTGTTCCCAGCACCAGGGACACAGTAGTGAGCAGGAACCTGTGCTCTGGGCTCACATTCTCATGCGGGAGATGACAGTGAACCATTACAAGAAAAACACAGAGCGCTGTCTGATGGTGATGAGTGGCAAGGAGAAAGATTACAAAGTGGGGAAGGGAGATCTGCAGGGCCATGGCATTTGAAATGTTTAGACTGGCAGTGAAGGCTTCAGGAAGAAGTCTTCCATGGCCAGCAGCAGGGTAAGCCCCAGAGGATTTGATGGTGACCAAGACAGGCAAGTTCTCTGTCCTGGAGGAGTTCAGTTCTTCTTGGGAAACAGATAAGTAAATAAATAAAATAGATGGTACATGGTAGGTATAAGAACTACAGGAGAAAAAATAAAGACAGACCTGGAATATAGAGGTTTACAATTTTAAATGAAGTGGGTGGGGAAGACTCCATTGCGAAGGTAACATTTGAGTTGATACCTACAGAAGGTGAGGGAAGGACCCATGTGGATATCTGAGGAGGAGCAAACTAGGCAGAGGGAATAGCAAGTGCAAAGGTCCTGGGGCTGGGTCAGGGCCTAGTATTTTGGAGGAGCAGCAGAGGGGCCAGTGTGACTGGACCAGCAGCAGAGGGACCAGGTAGGGGAGGGACTTATGGGTTGTGGGTCATAGTGAGGACTTTGGCTTTTACCAGGAGTGAGATGCAGCCAGAGGAGGGCTCTGAGCCAGGAGGGCCCTGATCTGACTCAGGGGTTCCAGGCTCCCTCTGGCTGTGTGTGGGGAGCAGACTGTAGGGGCGGGATGGGAGCAGGGAGACCAGGGAGGAGGCTGTGTGATGGTCCAGGAGGGAGAGGATGGAGGCAGGGCCAGCGTGGGGGTAGTGGAGGAGCAGAGTTTAGATTCTGGATAGACTTTGTGGGTGGAGCCCACAGGGTCTGCTGAGATTGGATGTGGGTGTGAGGGAACGACGGGTCAAGGACAGTTCTAGGGTGATTGGCCTGAGCCGCTAGAAGTGCGCTGACTGAGATGGGGTGGCGGGGGGGAGCAGGTCTGGGGAAGGGTTGAGAATGCAGTTTTAGTTTGACAGGATCAGAGACGTTGAATGATAGTCATTGCTTCCAAGGCTCCCTACCTCGCCTGGCCAGAACCCACCATCTGGGGCTCGAGGCATCGGGCCACCCTCCCCGTCCTCCCATCCAGGTCCATGGAGCTGGAGTCAGTGGGGCTGGGGGGGGCAGCAGCCTTCCGGGAGGTGCGGGTGCAGTCGGTGGTGGTGGAATTCCTGCTCACCCACGTGGACGTCCTGTTCAGCGACACTTTCACCTCTGCTGGCCTTGACCCTGCAGGTATGCCCATACACCCCCCGATGTCCTGACTACTGCCCTCTCATTGTCCGGGCTGCAGCGGGAGGGCAGGTGGGCTCCCAGCCCCATCCCTATCCCACTGAAGCTGGACCTCCCTTCTGGCTCCTTGAGGACCCCGCCCCGGCCTCTCCCTCCCCTCCCCCCCCTTCTCATTTCAGCTCCTACGCTCAGGATCCCCACTTCTTGGCCCGGACATCGTTCTTCCTTCACCCCTTGTAGCTCCTGGGGGCGCTCGGGGCCTTGGGTCCACCTGGGAGGAGGGGGGAGGTCCCCAGACTTGACCCCGCCCCAGCCCCACCCAGACTCCCCGCCCTGCCCCGGACCCCAGCCCAGTCAGGATTCAGCACGTCGGAGGGCCCTCTGGCTCGAGGTAACTGAAGCCAGAGCCGCTGTCCTCGCTGGCTGCTGGGAGCTGCCTCCTCATCAGCTCGTTCTGCCTCACGCCTTCTCCTCACCTGCCTGCTGCCCACCCGTTCCCGCCTGATCCGCCCTGGCCCCCTGCCTTGCCAGCCCGGGTGGGCACGCTGCTGGGCCGGGGCTTGGGCTGTAGCGCTTGGCTTTGCCTGTGGCCTTGAATGGTCCCAGAGCTGACGGCTGCCCCCTTTCCCAACTTCCCAGGCCGCTGCCTCCTCCCCAGGCCCAAGTCCCTTGCTGGCAGCAGCCCCTCCACTCGCCTGCTGACACTGGAGGAAGCCCAGGCTCGCACCCAGGGCCGGCTGGGGACGCCCACCGAGCCCACAACTTCCAAGGCCCCAGCTTCACCTGTGGAAAGGTGAGTGGGAGGCCTGGAAGGGGAGGGGCCCGCCTGGGGGCCCCAGCTCTCAGCCTGCCTCCTGTGTCTCACCCAAACTCCAGGAGGAAAGGGGAGAGAGGCGAGAAACAGCGGAAGCCTGGGGGTAGCAGCTGGAAGACCTTCTTTGCCCTGGGCCGGGGCCCCAGCATCCCCCGAAAGAAGCCTCTTCCCTGGCTAGGGGGCACCCGTGCCCGACCGCCGCCTTCAGGTCAGAGGCCGGGCAGCTGGCGTGGTGGTCAGAGAGGCACTGTGTAGCGCCCCCGTGACCCTTCTTCCTCGCCCTGCAGGCAGCCGACCTGACACTGTCACGCTGAGATCTACCAAGAGTGAGGAGTCTCTGTCATCGCAGGCCAGCGGGGCTGGTGAGCAGAGGGCAGCGCTGCCTATGCCCAGGTGGAGCTGGGAGGGACTGGGGCCCTGAGCTGGCCTCCAAGTGGTGTTTTCAGATTTGTGGGTCTTGGGTTTTTTTCGTTTTTAATCTGGACCATAGGTACAATAAGTTGGATAAAGCTTCACCCTTGTTTCATGATGCACTGTGATCACTGGTCCATACAGCGTCCTTTCAAACAGTCTTTTATTCATCCCTTTTGAAAAAAAAATTAAATAGTATAATGGACACCCGTGAACCCACTGGCCAGAACTAAAAGAGCGCCACTACGTTACCTGCGAACTCTTCCCCCTCCCACCTGCTGCCTCCCCACCACAGGCATCCTCTAAATTTGATAGTCTTCATCCCTTTGCATTTACAGTTTTATCACATACAGGTGCAGGCGTCAATAACATACTGCGAAGTTCTAGTTGTTTTGAAACTTTAATTAAAGGGTATCATTAGGGCTTCCCTGGTGGCACAGTGGTTGAGAGTCCGCCTGCCGATGCAGGGGACACGGGTTCGTGCCCCGGTCCGGGAAGATCCCACGTGACGCGGAGCGGCTGGGCCCG